GCCCCAAGAACTTTGTCCTTGCTCAGCCTAAAAAAAATTCCCTGCTCCCAAAGAAGTGGGCTGAGGGGGCTTGTTTTTGAAGCAAGAGAGTCCTGTTCTCCCTCAGGTCAGAGACCCTTTAGCTGCCCTCACAGATGTCTTCAACCTCTTTACAGAAACCTTTCCCCCTTGACCAAACTGACCACTGGCGGGCTCACACACATCGATCCACGGTCAGAGCCCCCGGAGTGTTGGAAGAGAAAGCCTAACCTCTTAGGAAGCCATGACCTCATCTCCTGAGCTTCCAGCTCTTCCCACAACCCTGGGTCCACTCCCTAGGACCAGCAGGCATACAGAAGCCTTGGACATCTGTCACAAGAAAGGGACTCCAACTTCACATCCTGCACCACCCCCAAGAGGGGCAGCTCAGACACGTTCTCTGTGTGACGGGGGCAGACCCAGAGACAGAGCCAGGCTCAGGGCCAAGAGCAGGAGCTGAGGTAGAGCTCACCTTGCAGAAGTGGAGGAAGGAGGCCCTCACCTTTTCTGAGCTGATGACAGTCATTCTCCTCATTGTCCAGATGCTCAAGGTCTTGATACTCCTTTGTCATGATAGTGCTGGCACTGAACCTGCGACTGGGGCAGGGCTGAGTGCAAGGAGAGGAGGTGGAATCGCCAACTGGAGCTGACCTGGGCTGGAGCTGGAACGCGGATCACATGCCCCCCTTTTAAGTCTGATTGCTAGCTCCATGGAGACCCTTTTTCTGTCGTCCATCCCCTCCTAGGCCTGACATCCAGAATCCATCTTCTAACTTTTTTCCCAGCCAGCCCCCACCCCAACAGGCAGTCCCACTGCCTTTCTTCCCCTGTTTTACTTGCTCAAGGTCTCGAGGTCTGGCTCCCAGGTCCCTCAGTGCTGTGCAGATCCCAAGTTAAGGAAGGGGGTGAAGCCTGGAGAATTGGGGTAGGTGGACAGCCCTGGATGATGGGAGGGGAGGGGGGCGGGGTCCATAGGAGGGCCCTGAGCCCCGTGTGTCTGCGTGTCTGAGTGTCTGTGTGTCCAAGCACGCCAAAGCTGGCATCTCCAATGCCCGGGACTTTGGACTGTAAACAGAGGTACAGATGGATTTGGAACTTGGGTGTGTGGGGGTAGGAGCGGGGCATGGGTTGTCTCTGCTCTCCTCTCCAGGGAGGGGGACGTTTCGGATCTGCTCCCCTCCACCCCCACACACCACTCATCTCACTACTCAATTGCACCATTTGGGTGGGAGGCCAGGCCAGGAGGGGACAGGGTGCAGCTTGCTGTGTCTCCTCTGCCCCTCCCCCTTTCACTTCCCAGAATTGTTGGTGTCTCTAAATATCCCTGACCAAGATCAGAGGGACCAGTTCTGTGCTCTTGCCCAATCCAGGCCTGTGACCCTGGCATCTGAGCCGCAGACCCCAGTTTCCTGTGGGACTCAGCCCCAGGATCCCCCTGACCTGACTCACTTCACTCTCTTGGGGAGTGAAGTCTTCCAAGTAACATGAGGGGCAGTACAGGGAGAGGCAGGAGAGCCTCAGTTGGGATTGGTGCCAACAAAACTCCACTGACTCCTACAGTGTGTCCCTGGCCTTTTGGGTCATTAACTTCTCTCATTATCCCAGAACACATCCCACTTCACAGATGAGAAAACTGAGGCTCTAGAAGGTAAAAACTTGCCCAGGGTCACACTGCAAGGAAGCAGCAGTTGTCCAACTTGGGCAACTGACTCCAGGCCCTGTGTGCAGCTCCAAACCACACCCAGAACCAGAATGTAATCCAGTCAACAAAGCTGGGCTCTGGGGTCCCAGAGATGCTAAAACATGGTCCCTCACGGCCCTGCGTGGGCTTCAGAGAGAGAGTTGTGTGAATTTGAATTATGCAACTTGGAAATCAGGCAATATTTACGATGTTAATAAGTCTCGCGTTAGGCCCAAATGTGAAGTCATGCAAATCCTACTTTACAGTTATTTCCGTGAGAAAACTAGACTTGAATTATGCAAGACTTCAATGATATGAGATATTCAGGAACACATCCTTGCATAAAATGTGACAGCTCTGTGTGTGCCCTTGTCTGTCTGTGTCCTGAAAACTGCTGTGCTGTTGACATGCACTGGGACCATGGCCAGTGATTTTGGTGATTGTTGGGCCGTTAATTAAGAATTATCTGATATTATCACTTACAATCTAATTTATCCAGGCAAATAAACCTGCGCTATTTTGGTCAGAATAGTGGTCACCCTCACAGAAGTAGTGGGAGCACAGAGGGACTTCGGGTCATTGCCAGATCATTGCCACCATTGCCTTGGTAGACTCTGATGTGGCCATGTACTTTTTGAGCTATGGCTGTCGCCATGTTTCCTGGCTTTGGCCCCCTTCCCTACCTTGGGGAGGTGAAACTCCTCTTTCTCTCTAATTTACTCTCTAAATAAACTATATTTTCTAATCTAAAACAGAAAAAGAGGGACTTCAGGGGTGACAGAAATGATCAGCTTCTTGGTCTGGATACTGGTTATATGGTGGTGTTCAGTTTGTAAAACTACAGAAAGCCATATGCTTAAAGCCAGACTCCTTGATTAGGGAGCAGTTCTCAGATTAGTACCCCCAAAAAGCCCCTCCAAAACCAATAATTTAATTTTTTAATGTATTTTTTTTAATAGACAACATCTCCGTATGTTGCCCAGGGTGGTCTCAAACTCCTGGGCCTACGCTGTCCTCCTGCCTCAGCCTCTCAAGTAGCCGGGACTACAGGCACACGCCACCATGGCCAGCAAAGCCAGTAACTTTAGAAGGGAAGTGAGAGATGATAAAACCCGAAGGAAATATGCAATAGTGATTCATGGATAATACTGAAAAAACAAAAAAGGGCTAAAGCAAAACTATGCCACAACAGTGGTAGATGTATGCACTCTGAGAAGTCATCCACCCTTTACAGCTATTCCTCTAAGAATATAGACCAGGCACAGTGGCTCATACCTGTAATTCCAGCACTTTGGGAGACCGAGGCAGAAAGATTACTTGAGCCCAGGAGTTCAAGACCAGCCTGGGCAACATAGTGAGACCTTGTCTCTACAAAAAAACTTAAACATTAGCTGCTGCATGCCTGTGATTTTGGTGATTGTTGGGCCGTTAATTAAGAATTATCTGATATTATCACTTACAATCTGATTTATCCAGATTGGGATAAATCAACTATTTGGGAGGCTGAGGCAGAAGGATCTCTGAGCCTATAAGGTTGAGGCTGCAGTGAGCCAGAATCATGCCACTCCACTCCAGGATGGGCGACCAAGTAAGATGCTGATTCAAAAAAAAACAAGTTTATTAGCTTTGTTTGGGCCTTTGGATAAAGATAAATTAATTAATCAACCAGTTAATTAAAAGAATATATACTTTGGTTGGGATAATTACTCTGTGGTTTTTTTCCCTGTGCATGCTAATAAATTTTAATGCTTTTTTTTTTTTTTTTTGGATTCTCATGTATTTCCCAAATGCAAGGAACAAATTAGATATTCTAATAGAGTTTTATAAAACTAAGTAAAACAAAGTAAAAACAAGTACCTTCATCTGATTGTCCAGTATGCTATTTTAGTTTTTATTTTAAAGATGTGGGTTAGGTACATAAGTGGTCATCATCAGGTGAAGTTTGGGCCTCCCACTGGTCCTCACTTCACCCGGTTTGGGATCAGGTACTGTTATTAGTGTTATGTACCACCTCCTCCCCATACCACATGTTCTCACTCATAAGTGAATGCCTTTTTTAAAAATAAAAATTTTAAGCCAGGTGCGGTGGCTCACACCTATAATCCCAGCACTTCCGGAGGCGGAGGTGAGAGGATTGCCTGAGCCCAGGGATTTGAGACCAGCCTGGGCAACACGGCAAGACCTCGACTCTACAATAAATCAAAAATTAGCCAGGCACACACCTGTGGTTCCAGCTACTTGGAAGACTGAGGCGGAAGGATCACCTGAGCCCAGCAGGTCAAGGCTGAGGTGGCCGTGAGTGTGTCATTGCAATCCAGCCTGGGCGCTGCGGTGGCGGGGGGCGGCCCCTGCACTCCAGTCGGGGGGACAGGGTGAGACCCCAACCCAAAAAAAAAAAAAAAAAAAAAAAAGGCTGTTTAATTTTTTACATTTTTAATTCGATTTAAAACATTTTAAATTTTTTTATTTTTATTTTTTGTCAGAGTCTTATTCTATTGTCCAGGCTGGAATGCAGTGGTACACTCACGGCCACAGCAATCTCGACCTGCTAGGCTCAGGAGATCCTTCCACCTCAGCCTTCCAAGTAGCTGGAACCACAGGTGTGCACCACCATACCAGGCTAATTTTTTATTTTTTGTAGAGATGAGGTCTTGCCAAATTGCCCAGGCTGGTCTCGAACACTTGGGCTCAGGCAATCCTCTTGCCTCTACCTCCCAAAGTGCTGGGGTTACAAGTGTGAGCCACCCACCATGCCCTGCCATTATAAACAGTATTTTTTAACAAAAGAAGAATTTAAGAATGTATACCTTGAGTTGCACAAGGTCTTCAAGGACAAAACTTCATGTTTCAATTATATGTTGCTGATAACAAAGTAATACAAACTTAGTGACTTGAAACAGCAGCCATTTATTAGCTAACAATATGTAGGGCACAACCCAGTGCAACAGGGTTCTCTGCTTAGGGTCTCACAAAGTGGAGATCAACGTACTTGCAGGACTGTATTTCCTGGAAGCTAAGGAGAAGAAGAATCCACTTCCAAACTCATTCAGGTTGCTGACATAATCCAGTTCCTACAGCTGTAGGTCTGAGGTCCATATTTCCTAGCTGGCTGTCAGTCTCAGGGGCCTCTGTCTGCTCCTAGAAGCCACCCACATTCCTCTTCAGTGGCACCCTCCATCTATAAAGTCAGCAACAGTGTGCCAAATCTTTCTCATGCTTCAAATCTCTCTGGCATCTGTGCTCTTAAAGGCTGTGTGATTAAAATAGGCCACTTGGATAATCTTCCTGTAGTAAAATCAACTGTGTATGTAACATCTAAGTGAATGGTCATTTATAAGGTCATCTATATGGAAATAAAATCATGAGAGGGACAGCTCATCACAGTCACAGGTTCCAGGGATTAGAGCATGAAAGTTCAGAGGGCACCTTCAGAGCTCTGTCCACCTTCACACCAGTCTGTCCCCTCTCAGTACATGTCCCTGTGGAATGCAGTGCACATCCAGAGAGCAGTTCAAACAGAGCAAGCTGGGCTTGGAACCTGTTAATCCTACCACCAGGGCAATCTAGAAAGGCTCCCTAAAGAAGGTCTATAATATGGGCCTGGAAGAACAGGTGGAATTTTATCAGCGTTAACAAGCAAGGGCTTATCAATGGAAGACTAGAAACGGGACTGGATTTTTAAAAAGTGGTACATATGCACAATAGAATATTACGCAGCCATAAAGGAGAACAAAATTATGGACTTTGCAGCAACTTGGATGGATTTAGTCTATAATACTCAGTGATTTATCACAGAAACAAAGAACTAAGTACCACATGTTCTCACTCATAAGCAAACCCTGAATATTTACCATAGTACTATAAGAAAGGGATTGACAGTAGCTGGAAACTGCGGGGTTGGGGGGGGGGACACATAACATTAATAAGGGTACCTGATCTCAAATCAGGTGAAGTGGGGACAAAAGGAAGGCTTAAACTTTACCTGTATGATGACCACTTGTATACCTGATCCTGAATTGTACCCCCACATCTTTAAAATAAAATAAATAAAAATAATAGGCCGGGCTTGGTGGCTCAGCCTGTAACCCCAGCACTTTGGTAGGCCAAGGTGAGTAGATTGCCTGAGTCCACGGGTTCGAGACCAGCCTAAGCAACTTGGAGAGACTTTGTCTTTACAATAAATCAAAAATTAGCCGGGCATGGCAGTGCCCACCTGTAGTTCCGGCTTCTTGGAAGGCTGAGGTGGAAGGATCACCAGACCCCAGCAGGTCGACTCTGGGGTGGCCGTGAGCATGCCACTGCACTCCAGCCTGGGCAATGAAGTGAGACTCCAATTCAAAAATAATAAATAAGGAAGCCTGGGTTAAGGGCATAGGAGCAGAAGAGAAACCAGGAAATCAGAAATTTAGCTAGAGAGGTAGTTTGGGCCATCCTCAGGAGTGCCTTGAATGTCAGTGGGAAGTATTTTGAATGTCACTCGCAAGCCTAGACGTCTCCAAAGTAGGGGACACGCACCCCAGAGTGTCACAAGATCATCCATAAGAA